GGGGGGGGGGGGGGGGGAGGCACTGGCACAGATCCCAGTCCCAGTCACTTGTCCTCACATATGCAGCCCCTTTGCTAGGCAGGAAAATGAGTCCAGAGCCTATGAACGCAAGGTAGGGAATGACCCAGGAGGGGCAGCATCCCATCACAGGGCACACTTACCCAAACGTTTTATTTTCTTAAAATGTAAGACACAATCGGACAATCGGATGCCCAACCCCCATGGGCAAATGTGATGCAAAAGTGATGTAGTCTTAAGGAATGCCCATCTAGTGAAGAAAATGTAATGTCATGCCCTGTAAGGTGCCCTTATAATGGAAAAGAGGGGTACTATGAATTGCCCTTCTAGTGCAAGAACTGTGGCTCTCTCTGGGGTGCCCTTGTAATGGAGAGAAGAATATCTCTGATGCGTTCCAGTCTATCTGTCTGCCTGCTGAACCATTCTACCCTCCTTTCACACTTTCATGTGCTCTGTCACGCCCCATTACTACAAAAAGGAAGTTACTACATCTTTATAACCAGGAATTTCTCTCTCCAGAGCCAGTATCACCTCGTCTTGCCTGTTGTCCCATATGATTCTAATTCAAGGTAAGATGGAGAATATTTTAGCATATTGATATTACTTTAGTAGTACATTATGATTTTTAATTCTGGGACTAGAAGTGTGACATGCTGAAGACCAAAGTAAAAATAATGTTAAAAAACTCTTCTGAATTAATTATTTTAAATCACTTTCATTAGTCATATAAGAATGATACTATTAGTCATATCTATCTTTGCGTGTGTGTCTCAGTGTTCCTCTGTAAGCTGTTTTGTACAGGAATTCTCACTTACACAGTACTTTGTTACATTACTTATTGAATCAGGGTACCCGCGGTCATGGAAAACTTGGAAAAGTTTTGGAATTTTAAAATAAATTTTCCAGGCCCTGGATAACTTTTGGAATTCTTGGATAGAGAGGAAAAGTTTTGGAAACTAGCCTTGTTCATTTTTGTTTCCTGCTTTGTTCCGCAATGCGCTAACATAAATGTATGAGCGGAAGTCAATAGTTAACTACCTTATACAAATACTGTTCTATCTACTTTGGTTTTACAGAGTTGTGGGTTTTGGAAAAGCTTCTTATGGTACTGGAAAAGTTTTGGAAAAGTCATGGAAATTTATTCTGCCAGAATTGGGGGAACCCTGTTGAATAGACCAATGTGATAATAGTAATAAACTCCAGGCTTGTTTTCCTCGTGCTGAACATGTTGCACATACTTATTTCTTGTTCCTGTTCCTCGCTGGACCTGTCTGACTGTCACACCCGGTGCGTCCAATCTTCCTGTGTGCCACGTCCCCTCGTTTAGCCTCGTGTGGAATCCCCATGTCATCAGATGTTTTGAGTTGTTTTCATTAGTCCTGTGTATTTAAGTCCACGTCTAAGTATGTTTCCCTAGTCCTGTCATTGTATTGTCAATGACGTCTCATTGTGAAGTCTTGTAACCTGTTTACCTTATATGCCTCTCCGTCTCCCAATTAATGTCCTCTTTCCCCAATCCTGCGTCTCCTTCGCCTGCTTCCCTAGTCTGTGCCCCACTCGTTGTGACAGAGGGGACGTGGCACACGGGAGGAGCAGACGAGCTGATTTAATTAATAACAAATTATTATAATTTTATGGATAATTAGCCTTCAAATTAAAATGTAAAATTTAATTTTGCATATGTTTTGAATTTCCATAACACAACAGAGAAAAAGCCTCAAAAGTTTTAGTTATACACTAAAATTTTGGAACTTAAATTTACAAAAAATGGTTTTCTCGATTTTGTGCTCACTTCAGATTTTCCACTCAGATCCTTTTTCTTTGCCTGTTCATGTTATTTGTCAAATGTAGCCAATATCAGATTCCAGTGTGAACTGGCCACAGTCCTGCAGTGACCTGCATGTGTAGAAGAACAATAACATGCAACCAGCTTTTAATGGAGCAGTAGCCGCTAGCTCTGTATTGGGGGTGTTGTGTGTTAATGCGGAATCGGAGTCAGAAGTGCAGTGTAACAAATCATTTTGACTTACTGTTGTTTCAGTGTACTATTTTGAGTGTATTTAGTTTGAGTGCATTGAAGTTGTTATGCAATGTAAAAAAAAAACAAAACGTGTTGTCATGATCCGATCATTCGCTCCTTCCGTGTGCCACGCCCCCTCGTTAACCCTGTGTGGATTCCCCGTGTTTACCAGCTATTCCTGATTGTTGTCATTAGTTCATTGTATTTAGTCCGCATTTCCGTTTGTTTCCCCAGTCTGGTCATTGTATTGTCAATGCGTTATTGCCTACCTTTACGTCTGATTAAACCCCGTGTTCCCTGATTCCTGGCTTCCTGCTTGTTTGTCTGCGCTCTGGGCGCGTACACTGTGACAGAGTGACCAGACTCCCTAAATCAAGACCAGTACTTCGCCGGCGTACGAGCTGAGGGACGATCTTCCCGGGATTCCAAGGATGATCCCGGCGAATTTTGCGTTCTGCAATCCCAGCCTGTACTGGCCAGATGCTGACTGGCGACCGAAGCCGGCCCCCGAGGTGCCTGACCTCGCAGCAACAGCGCATGGAGGAAGACGGAGACGGAGAAACAGATGGGAAGACGCGCAGGAGGTCTGTCTGGGGGGCGTCTCTCTTTCCGCCGCTTGCCCTGCTGAGCGCTGGGAGAATCCCCGTCCGACCCTCCACCCGGTGGTGTTCGCCGCTTCGCCTGAGCAGACGCCCAAAGCCCGTCCGCCCGCCGCTTCGCTGCCTAAGCCCGCAGCCTGTCCCTTCATCGGGACGCGCCTGGCCCTTAAAGGGGCCAGGTCCATTAAGGACGCTATCCCGTGGGTTCCGCGGTTTCTGAAGCGGGCAGCGCCCCCCGTGGTTCCTGAGCCAGTCTCCCGGAAGGGGAGGGGACACCTGCGCTGGGTTCCGCCCGGCTGCGGTTTCCCTGGCTGTGGCTCGGCGGTCGCCTGCGGCCCCCCTGGCTTCGGCTCGGCGGTCGCCTCCGGTCCCGCCCACGGAGCTTCATCAGCTGGCTGCGGTCTTGCCTTCGGCGCCTTGTCGGCTGGCTGCGGGTCTTGCGTCTCTGGCTCGGCGGTCGCTTACGCCTTGGCCATCAGTGGCTGCGCCTTCGACTGCCGCGGCTGCTGCTCCCTCCTCCCCTTCGCCTGTGTCCCCTTCGCACTCCTCCTTGCCTCCTCCGTTGCTCCCTTCGCCTTCCTCCTCCTCACCTTCGGCCTTCCCTCCTTCTCCCTCCTCGCAGTCGCCAGTGGCCTCTGCGGCTTCCGCCACTCGCCTGCCGGGGTTCCCTCCAGCTCCCCATTTCCCCCTGCCCCTTGCCTCCTTGCCCCCTGCCTTTGTGCCCCCTGTGTTTACCCCCTGTCCCTCTGTGCCTTTCGGTCCCTTTGTGCTCCCTGTGTCTGCTCTTCGTCTTCATGTTTCTCCCTCATTCGCTCCTGGTCCCTTTGTTCCTCCTGTTGGTGTTTCTCCTGTGTCTCCTGTGTTGTTGCCCCTGTGCCGGTTTTCTTTTCCCGTTGTTTGTCGGTGGTTGTCTGAGTTGCTGTCTCTGTGTCTGTTCTGCATGTCTGTCTTGTTCCCTGTGCCCCATTGAGTTTTGCTTTTGTTTTCCAGGTTCTGTGTCCCTGGTCCCGTTCCTCCGCTCCCCTGGGGCGTGCCCGGTGTGCGCGCCTTTGGGGGGGGTGTTCTGTCACACCCCGATCGTGCCGATCCTCCTGTGCCACGCCCCCCTCGTTAACCTCATGTGGATTCCCAGTGTTTATCAGCTGTTTTGAGTTGTCTTTGTTAGTTAGGTGCATTTAAGTCCACGTCAGAGTTTATTTCCCTAGTCCTGTCATTGTGGTGTTATGCCGTTTTCAGTCCTGTCTGCCTCTCTGAATGTCAATTAAAACCCTTACTTACTCGGCACGGTCATGACAAGTGGTGTTTAGAAAAAAAAATTATTACTGCGCTGCCTTAAAATTTTAAGTTGACTTACATTTGGCCACCTCACTATCACTTGTGGCATAAAAGTAAATACCTCCAGTCCTGGGGAAAATCATAAAACAGTGAGAATTTACTGTTAAAAAGCTGTTTCAGTTACTAGTCTTGGATGATATGTAATACATGCGGAAAGGTGTTAGGCCAGTTTATACTCTACACTGGCAACACTTACGCCTGCTGTCGCTGCACTAGCAGTGTTGCTGCTGACACTTGCACGTGTTCTTTACGTCAGTCTGGAGGATTAAAAGTTACATCCTCCAGGGGCAGTGTAAGAACATCAGCTTGGTTGGCTCGTTTGTTTCCGGTCATTCAGTATCTCGTGCTAGTTAATATTTCATACTTAGAATTAGTGGTGTGCGATACTACAAGATTTGGTATCGATGCGATACCAAGTAAATACAGGGAAAGTATCGCCGATACGATACTGATACTAATTAATAATTAAGGTAGATGCATCATCAAATTGCTAAAGCTTAATTAATTTTCATTACCTTTAAGTGTTTTTGTGATTTTTTTTGATTAATTAGGTAAAACCCAGGACAGAATTTGGGCAAAGTTTATAAGTAAATAAATACTGTAGTGTAGGGTGACCAAGCGTCCTCTTTTGCCTGGACATGTCCACTTTTTACGTCCTGTCCGGGGCGTCCTGGCGGGTTTTATAAATTCACGAAAATGTCCGGTTTTTCATTGGACCATTACGCGTGTACGTAAATTGACTGGCGTTTTGCACACAATACTAGGGTACTACTTTTTTGCGCGACGTAATTACCAGGAGGCTGCCTTGTGGGCAGGTCTGCGCCGCGCGCGCAAACACACAGACACAGACAGGGAGCAGTGCAGACAGGGATCAGAGCAGAGAGCGGAGCAGTATAGCAGGGAAAATGCCGAAGCGTAAGTGCAGCTTCACCGATGAACTGCAAAGAAAATTTCCCACATACCGTCCTGGTCGGGACAAGTGGGAGGTGGAGTGCACTGTGTGCAAAGCTGGTACATATGTCTCGGTATCCAATAAAGGTGGTGGGGATCTGAAAGCCCACATGGACACCGAGAAACATAAAAAGGCTGTGCGAGGTGAGAGTTCATCTGCAAAGTTGACAGAGTTTTTTGTCAGACGAGGAAAAACAGAGGATGATGTAAATGCAGCAGAAGGTGCAATGGCTTTTCATACAGTGAAACATCACAACAGTTACAGGTCCATGGATTGCACCAGTACTTTGCTTAAAAAGGCATTTCCTGACTCTGACATTGCAAAAAAGTTTAGTAGTGCTCGCACCAAGACGGAAGCCATCGTCAATGGTGCTATAGCCCCCGACTCTGTTGAAATCACTCATGAAGCACTCAAAGAAATCCAGTGCTGTGGTGTTTCCACAGGCGGGAGTAACCACGGAGCAGTGAAAATATTCCCAGTCATAATCCAGTATTTTGGCTGGAAGAAGGGTGGCGTGCAAACAAAATTGATTGAAGTTAAAGACACACCCAATGAGACAGCAGAAACCATTGCAAAATATCTCACAGAAACCCTGGCAAAAAACAATCTGTC